ATCCATGATCACGCCGATCGACTCCCCGGCTGTCATGCCTTCAATCATTTCATTCAATTCTGCTTCGGCCGTTGACAAGGTGACTGTGGTCTGGCGGCCTGACCGCCAAAACACTGGCGCAGATCCAATCATCACGATCAGACACCCATGGCTCTCTTCTGAGTGTGGAGCATAGGAGGCATCGGTGTAAACGTGAAGGGCAGGAGGTGAAGTTTCATCTTCTTCATACACCAGACCTTCGTTCCTTGTGCTCCAGAGGTAGGCTCGCATTTGATCGCCAGCTTGAAGAACAGCCTGTGTGCTTTTCAACACTGCTGAGCCCATCCTCGCTACGCCATACATGAGATCTGGCCTTGCGCGAGTCAGAACCCATAACATTTCTCCGACCACTTTTTGGGAGAGTCGGATACCTTCGATTTGAGGTGGAGTCAAATCTGGCTTTATGCTTGGACTGATCCCTGGTGATCGGGATTCTCTTCTTGGGCAGCTTTGAGGCATCTCCCCCTAGGAGGCCAGTCAAATAGGACTGCTGGGTGAGGATCCAGCGATCTCTTCCCGTGGTTGGTAATTAGGCTCTACGCCAATGTCCTGCGGGTCAGAGGTCTTCCAAGTTTCTTGAATCCTTTCTTTGACAGCCTTGACCACATTTGGACTGCCAGTGATCAGGAGATCATCGACGTAGGTCATCATTAGGCCGCAGAGTCTCTCGCAGCCTTCTTCATCTTGGGTTGGGACTATCTTCCACAAGTTCGGCTCAGACTGGAGAGCAACAAGGTGGAGTTCCATCTTCATTTGATGTTCCTTGGGTTCAGGGTTTTGTTGTGCATCAAGGGTTTTGAGAATAATAGGGAGGATGCAGAGACAGTCAGCATGCCAAATTGCCAGCATGTGTTGCCAGCAGCAGCATTGAGCATATGCTTGCCAGCAGCGGCTTTGAACATGTGTTAGCGTGTAGCATGTTTGCTAGTAGCATGGGGCCAAAACTAGCTACATATGAAACTATATGTATGTATATGAAGTTTTTGCCTGACATGTATTGTCAGCAGAAGTATGGGGGTTTTACTTGCTCAAGACTAAAGTCTTCCAACAAAAATGTTCCATTTTCGTTGGAAGTGTTCCTTCAATGTGAACTGCACTCCCAACGCTGCAGCTGCAACCCAGCAGGCGCTAAGTCCAGCATTGTTTTCTAAGCCGAGGTCCGAGGTTGTGTCGGGCTCCAGTCCTCCTACCAAACAAAAAGTTTGCCTGGGAACGCGTCAAAAGGCCATCATTCCTCTAAATCCCCTTGACATGGACATTGGTATATGACCACAAATATCTAGCAGTACCCAACCAAATGCTTCGATAGGAGCTACTTATAAAGATTTGGTTAGGAGTTTGAAACTATTTGGAGACAAAAGAAACGCGTTGCCCAGACAAGTGTGACTTCGAGGCTGTTTTGCTTGCCACCATGTAAACGACCACGTCACAAGATGTTTTACTGATAAGTGCAACTTCTATGTTTGGATCCACATGGAACGTGTTCTATTCCAGCCTCTATCACTGGCAAGTGGCAAGCTCAAACCGAATCAACACCAAACACGAAATCTCGCAGTGCAGAAGCGCATCAGAACTACTCATCAAAGATTGGTCGCGGTTGCCCTGTCAGAGAGGTTTGTTGAATGATGGCGGAAGGAATTGAACATCCAAAGGAACAAAAAATAGTGAAGAACCCATACTAATAAATATATATATATATATATGTACAAATAAAAAAGCTAAGTATGCGTGTGGTGTTTGGAGCCTTAGTCTTCATGAAGAGGGTCATCAACGGCGTCCTCCTCTTCGCCCGCTTCCATGCCCGCATCGGCATCAGCGCCATCGAGCGCAAGGTTCTCTCCCACAGGACGTTTTTGGGAGAGGTAGGCCTCGATCATAGAATCCTGACAGGATCACACATGTATTTAATGTCGTTCAAAGTAATGTAAGTTTCTACTACATCACTTTGAAGTGATGTTGAAATCATTGAAATGACGATTCAACAACATAAGGTATCTTCAAAACCTCTCCAACACAGGATGCCAATATGCAATGTGTTCTATCCAAGTGACAGCCATGTTTTGGCCCTTGCTCGCATCACCATCAGTGCGCAAGAGCTCCTCCTTCACACAATCCTGAGCAACACAATGGGAACATTCTTGACTAGACGTAGATTACCGGGCTTGTCAATCAGCTGGCTTTGCACAAGTTCGACAATGTTTTGTTGGCAAGTTCCCAACCATGTTTCAACATGCCCAACATTGTTTTCCCTTAGTGTTCCAACTTGTGCCATGCAAGCATCAGCAATGTTGGCTAAGACTTCGTCTGGGACCCCATCAACTGGCTTCACCTGGGTCGTGAAGGGATGGGCGATGGAACAGGGCTACCAACTGAAGTTCAGTAAGAACACTTTTGTTGACAAGTTCTGAATGAAGGCATTGAATGAAGCATCGTTTTGACAAGTCGCTCCCACCACTTCTTTGCCGTTGACCTTGAATCCCCATTTCCCCGTTTTGTATTGGTACTTGTAGACAGCAAGCTTCTTGCGTTGCTTATCCTTTTCAGAACTGCAAGCGGGTCGCTTCATGCTAGCAGCAGGTCTCTTCTTAGAGGGTGCGGTTTCCTTCCTCCTCCTCCCCCTGCTCCACCTCCTCCAACTTTGGTTCAACTTTCTTAGCCTTTCCTTTTGCCTTCGGTTTGCTCTTGGCCTTCCCTTTCTGTTTTGGGGGTGCTGTGGAGCCTGCTGACTTGGCACTAGCCTTTGGCTTTGCTTTTCCCTTTGGTTTGGGGGCAGCTGAGGTCTCTGGAGATGGTTTCGGCTGTGGCCGTTGTTGATCTTCATCTGACAAGGCATCGACCGACGCTAAAACCATGGCTTCCGAGCAAAGCCTATGCAACACAAACGACATGTCTATTCTTGAATGTAGACAACTGCATACGAACAACCGGGTGGTGAACTTCAACTACAAAAAAAGCAAGCTGCAGTGTGCTGTTGAAACTCATAGCACCTTCACTACCGTTTTGAACCCCTTGCACATGTCATGTGCTGTCCCAAGACGAAATCTTGAGCTCCACTTTCGAAGCAAAACAGGAGTGCGTTCACAGGGAGGAGGTGGCTAAGAAACCAGTTGGCAACGAGTTTTAGGACCTTAGGGTTGATTGATGATTGATGTTGATTGATTCGGTATCACCTCTCAAAGCCACTTTCCAACAGCACTCTGAGAAACCCAAGTCCTCTGAAATCATTTCAGCTTCACAGCTGAAGAAGCAGCAATCTTAAGCTGGCCAAGTAGGTAGTACTTGGGCTTCAGAGGCATCAAAGTGCACGGGATGCCCTCAGTGGCTTTCACCTGTCAGGCCACGGCTGCAGCTCTACCATCAGTGTTGAATGGACGCTTGGTGAGTGATTGTGGGGAGGAGCCCGAGTTGGTTGTAAGAATTGTTTTAACATGACACGATTCTGTTGTTGACAATCAACCACGAATGGAAAGTACTTCCATATTTTCAACTACTGTGCCTTCCATACCACATCACAATGAGGGGCCTTTGGCAATTGGCTGAACTTGTTGCACCACAAAGCCCCGAACTGGGCTGACCGCAAGTCGAGTTTGTTGTCGCTAGCAGCTAGCTCCTTCGGCTTGTGGCTGTTGACTTTGGCATCAGCAGCTATGTTGTATCTGTAGGCCATCGGCGATTGAGATCCGTCATTGCCGACCTTCCAAAATGGATGGTTTGGTATAAACAATTGAGGGGTGAAACAATAGGCTTCTACTTATTAATCATACCTGACCCAAGGAAACATGTTTCTTGGTCTAGCCTGCATCTTCGATGTCATGGAGTGGTCTGTCATGCGGATTTCCGTGACGCCCCGTTTCCGGGTTACTTCGCACATTGCATCTGCAATCGTCGTGATGGTTTTCTCAGTGCTTGCCGAAGTATCCACCATGCAAATGATGGTGCGGTCAACAGTAATATGCCAGCCAATGCCGTTAGACAGTGTCGCGCATTGATCTAACGGGGCTGGCTTGCGCTTTGAATGGACACATTTTTCAAGTGGCCTGCGCCTAAGAAAACATATTTGAACAGTTTAATTTGGAGACCCTTGGCCTGACTGAACTTCCATGTAGGTTCCAGTGTTGAACCCAAACAACTCACCTGCTGGCAAGATGACCGGGTGCGCATTCTTGTTCACAAGCCATAGCAATCCAAGAGAAGTCAAAACCACTTGAAGGTTCGGCTCACGAGCAATGACCGCAGCACCCTCGGGCCTCAAAGTGTGCAGAATAAAAGGCTATCCCAAAAGCTTGGGACACTAAGTTTGATATCACCACCAAAAACATACCCTACTACAACCTGTCGAAGGAACGTGTTGTTCGCCTCATAGTCAGCCATTGGAATGCCAGTCAAAGACAAGCTTTGGCGCCAATTCTGTGGTTGGTCACCTCCCCACTGTGGACTTGCCATAGTCCTGGATGGGCCCTTGGCACTTGAGGTCGAGGAAGGCGGCGCGTGGACCATCTTGAGCGCATTCAGGATGGATGTCTCTTGGCTGATGCTATCCGCGAGCTTGGTCAGAGCTTCCTGGTGGGATCCGGTGAACTTTTGGCGAAGCAGGTCAGGAATCCTGAGACACATGGGATGGACTGCCAATATGTACGAACGAGTGTACGAACGTTAACCCTTAATCAATTGAGATGGAGAAGCTGTTGATATGAATAAAACAACAAAATTTGAAGAACATATAGGTTGTAGGTTGTCCGAGCGGCTTCAACTCGGCGCCACTGACAGCCAGGCATTCCAGAGTAGGTAACTCCACGCCGAAAGGTTCACTTGCTCGCGCAGCTGGTCCTGACTCATCCGATTTGTCCCACCACTGGCTCATGGCCCTCCCAGCAATCAAGTCTTTGTTGGAATCCAGCCAGTGACCATCATTGTCGTGGTACACAGACATGAAGTGCATATCCCATTTGTTGGCACCATCCTCACCAAGTAAGAAGGCCCGCTGCAGCTCCCATGCTGCCTGCGACCACTCGCAGAACCTGACTGCTCCAAAACCGAACAGTATATGATGGTATACCATAAGAATCAGAAGATACATTTCCTCCTGAAGTTGTGGACTAAGTTGTGGGGGTTGACAATGTATATATAGTTTTTGACCTTGACAAGCAACCTTGAGGGGTTCATGTCCACCACTAGGACCTTTTTGCTTGTCGCATTCGTTCATGCCGTCGAGGATTTTGAGCAACACATCTTTGGTCGCACTGATCCCTCTCTGCTGCACCTTGCTAATTGCGAGTGGCGTTCAAAACATATCCAATCCAGGTTTGACAGAATTATAGAACAAGTCAGCTAGGAACTGAAAAAAACAAAGAACATATGCACAAATAATCAGAGTCCCAAGAACCCGCCAGTGTGGCGCTAGCTGCTTATCCGGGTCAGGATTCTGAAGCTCACTGACACGGCTCCTCTCCACTCCGGAAATTGTGCCCAACAAGGACTTGGACTTCATGAAGGCAATGGTGTGGTGGCTGCCAGAGACCCCAGCCAAGCCTGTGGGAGGGCAGGAATGAGGAGTGAGGTAATGTTGTTGGGGAACCTATAGCCGGTTTTGAACCTACGATTGTGAACATAAATGTACATATACAACCAAGAAACACTGTTGCGATTTCTTGCGACGGTTTTGTTGGTGAGCAGCATCCTGATAGTTCAGCGATATCTCGTAGGTATCCATTGCCCTTGGATGGCTTCGAAGGAATCTCAAGACTAAGATCATTTCTCCCAAGTACAACCAATAGAACTTGAAAACATTTACTGTTGTAAATGACAAGACGCTTGATCACCTTGTCTTCCAGCAGCCGGCGGTGTTTCAATGTTGCCTCCTTCCCAGCGCTGGAATGAGACTGGGGCAGAAGCCAGAAGCTGAGCGTGTTGGGGTTTCCTGTTCCAACGCTTTGGCCAAGAGTGACTGCTTCATCAACTGCCAACGGTCCTCATCAGGGCTGAACCAGTGTTGGGAACATCCTTGACCCTGAAAGAAGCAAAAGAATTGGAGGGGTTGAAACAAAACCAAAAGGTTCAATTCCATCTCAGGGACTGGAAGGCCACAGTGTGAAATCACCCACCAGGATTGTGAGCCTAGCTGGGTTCAATGTCCATTCAGCAGTCCACGCCACTAATATCACTGGTCATATATTATTAGTATATGAAGTCTTGTTCGGGCGGACATATGAAAAACAATGAGAGGTCAGCTGAGAAACGCAGACGATCCCATGTTGGCCTGGGTCTGAACAATTTGCCCATGTGCCAGCGTCAAGGATGGCAATCGCAAAAATTGGTGCTTCTGGGCCATAAAGGACTCAATGGCACATTTGCCCTTGTGGTAGCGATCGTTGATGTGCTTGTAGTCCAGGCTGGCCTGGCGACAAGACTATACCACCTGCGATCATATGATACTCCCACAAAACCAAAGTACAGATTTATAGACCAACCGAAAGAAACAATTGTTTCGAGAATGGAAAGCTTTGGAGACCCAAGCCTGCTTGTTGGCGTACAAATCAAACTTCTGGCTCCATTCGCGCAGCTTGATCAAATCGCTTCCACTTTGAAGCTCCGTTTGTTGCCAAGTCGTATGGAACAGTTGAGCCGACAACCTGACCGACATGACAACATCAACCCTACCCAACACTTAGACGAAATAGTAATCTATGATCGATCGGCTACCGCCCACACACAGATAATGCGGACGAAGAGCTGTTCTGCTCGCATATGAGTTTGCTTCTCCACCTGTTGGTGTTTTTGCAAGAGCACACTGCTTCCCAAAAGGGTTGCAAGAAACGGTTGCTTTACAAACCATGCCATGGACCCCACCTCCTTGCTGTATTGCGCCAAGGGCTGCGCAAAGATTCCCACTCGGGTCACGTCAGCGGGTGGTACTGTTTGCTCCAGGAGCTGGAGGATGTCCGCGTCGGCGTGGCGCATCTCAAACCTCAAGGCAGAGCAGTGGGCGGTGGAAGGGTTCCTGGTCCCCCAAGCCTGATTATGGGCGCAAGGCCATGGACAGAAAGCAATAACCATGAGTCTATTCGGACCAGGGACGCTTTGTGGATCTCAACCAAGGAAGTATCGTGAAACTTCAAAGGTACCAAGGTCCGGTAGTGCTCCAAGCACGCCAGGAATCCACCGCATACTCGTTGAAGTTGAGTCTCGGAAAATCACTGAAGGACCATGTGAAAGTTTATAAGTGGCTAACCTTCCCACGTACAAATAGAAAATTACGAATAAAGCCAACCAGGTTTCCAAGTCCTTGATGTTCCATGGCTTCCGCATTTTGGGCGTGGTCGCCACCCAATCCATCTCTACGCGATGAATCATGAGGTTCAAAAGGCCATGGCTGTTGGTGAGATGCTGCTTCCACGGCAGTAGAAATCCACTGGCGCTGCAATGTCCATGATTCAGCAACCCCTCCGCCAGGCCGTCGTGGTTCACAAACTTCGGCTGCGTGTGCACCCTCAGGAACGTGACATGGTTGGTGCTGGAGTGTGTTAGGTCAATTCCAAGTGGTGCCAAAAAACTATAAACCAGTTAAACCAAAGTTTGGACCGTGGGAAAGTGGAGCGTAAAGAACATAGCGCATAAGAGTTCATCATCGAGTGTCCGCACCAGTTCTGTCAATCCCTCCTTTATAGCCGGTGGGATGCACTTGAGGAGGTTTACTGCGGCGGCAGATTCCTTCTCTCCCAAAGAGTATGCTTTGGCAAATGCCGATACGCTCTGATGAGCCTGACCCAACGCAGTTCATGTGTGAAAGTTTTGCACTGTGAAGTAGTTTTTGATGGGTGATGTGGATCAGTTGTTGAGTGGGAGGCCACCATCCTTTGCCCGGCCTGGAGAGATTTGATGGTCATCTCTTGAGTGAAGCCTGTCCTCTCCAAGAACTCCAATTGGTGTAATAGATTGAACGCATTGGGACGTCGGCGCAATTGTCCGCTCATTGTCACGCCTACAACAATACTAAGCGGAAACTCAAGATCAAATGTAGTGTTGTTTCATAGATGTCACTAGCGCTAGTTAGATTGCAGCTGGATAACCGCGGTTCGTGTTCACCACGAGAGAGTTGTTTGCCGGAACTGCCGTCGCGTAGATAACACTGAAGGACCTCAACAACGACCATGCCTAATTAGATTCAACGACAATCACCCGTCAAAGATTCGAAAGAAGAGATCACCTGTGAACTGCTCCAGGCCACGTTCGGACTTCATCCGGCAGCTCCTCCGAGGCAAAAGTGGATGGTAGGGGCGAGAGGAGGTGTGGGTGAGCAATCCAATATGATTGAGCCAAAGGGGTTTGTCTCTCCTCCAGCAATGCTGGCTCTTTGTAGCAAGCCCACAGGATGCCCAGGGCGGCAATTGAGCGGTTAAAACCCTTCACTAAGAAAAGCCGCCCTGGCGATAGCAATTCCGGATGCCCCAAGTCGCCAGCTGTCACTTTGGTTGGCGTGCTGTGAAGCCAAGACTTGGTAGCCGGGCAGGTCACTAGCTTCTCAACCCCTGGAAGGTTGGGGTTTGTTTGTAGCCCGTTCAAGAGCTCCAGCTGGCACAGCTGATGCTGTATCTCCTTAGTTCAGGTAAGACTGACTGCTGTTTGGTATATGCCGATGTGGCTTAGTCCAAGTTCAAAGTCCGGAGTCCTCTCTAACAATTGTTAGGTTCATGCTCAAGGGTCACCGTCGCTGGTGCCCCGCAATCCATAGTCGATTCGGTGCGGTAGCTGGTACGGCCGCAGAAACAAGGAAGCTCCTTCCTTGTGCAGATCAGCTTCAGAACTGTAGGTCCTGAATGCCAAACAAACAGAAAAAGGGGGGAATTGGACAATGCAGCAAGGCCCAGACACAGAAGGATTGGGCGGGAACCGGTCATCAATCCACGTGTAGAAGGCTTTCTGGGCATCCTCCAAAGCAGGTTGGAACATGTTGGAACTAATCAATCACAATCCAACTCGAAGAACTTCAGAACTGACTGGCTGAAACCGTTTGAAGATGTCTCTGTTGTACTCCTCAGTGCTCAGCTGTTCAGTAAGCAGAACATCAATGGTCTTCTTGGCTTTCATCAAGTTGGTATCCCTTAGCTGGAGGGTGGGTTGTCATTTTAGGAAACGAGTGAATAGCCAGTTGAAATCATAAGGGAGGATTGGATAAACATGTTGCCAAAATCTCGGTTTGATGTGCGGGTAAGATACGCCCACTGATCAAACAGTCTGATGTGAGGAAGCTGCAAAGCATCAGCAGGAAGACTGGGGGTGCTTCCCTTCTTCGTGGCTTTCGGCTGCGCTGCGGCAGGCTCGCTGCCATTGGACTTGCGTTTCACCATCACCTGGCGCGGGTGCTAAGTACAAAGGATCAGGGAGGATTTGGATGAGTGGGCATGAACTGTCAACAAGAAAGGTGTTTGTGCATCCAGGTTTCCGCACAAACTGACCCCATCCCTGGAGCAGTGAGTTTGCGCCGGATCCCGACCCGATCACGCACAAACCCCTAGCTGATCCAGTGATACGATAAATTCTAATGGACCAGACTTCCAAAAACATTCCCCAGCCCAGTTGGACCCAATGGTTTTGTGCCGGATCCCGACCCGATCACGCACAAACAGCCCCGGGCAACGAGGTCCTCCGGTTCGCGCGCAAATCACTATGCACAAACCCAGGCCCCACATGGCCTTCTGTCCTGAACCCTTTGAGTTCCAGGTGGTACGTACATGTAGCCTCACTCAGGTCCCAAACTCATATGCTTTGTACATCACATCAACAGCTCAGATTGTTGTAGTTGTTGATAAGACTATTAACTTGCTATTGCTATTGGGGCCTACAAGGCTAAGGCTGTGTTGCGATTCCCCCGCAACGCTATTGATGCCTTGACTCAACTACCGCCTCAGTAACAATTCTGATGGCATCATTCATGTTCACCCCTTTGATCCACAGCTCAGATGCTGCTCTGTAAAGTGCCTGCTGGCTACGGGCATTTCTGTACCTTCTAGCATCATCAGCGGATGGCCTTTCTCTCACCAGCCGAAAACGGTTTGGCGCCTCAAAGCAGGTGGTTCTTATTTGGTATGTTTGTGGTGTGGCCTTTAGTTTGATTTCATTGAGACATTCCATATCGTTAAGACAAGTATTCGAGCTAATTACGCAACGACTTCCAAGCACCTCCCCGGCACTGCTGGCCAGGCTGAACGGCCAACTGCTCCTCCAAGTTGTGGCAAGGCCCTCAGGGCAAATGTGGATGGTGGGTCACAACATGGTTGGGTTCGGTTGGCTGAAGGAATTCTATTTCGCAAACCCCCGCCAGCTTGTGTCCAGAAGATTGGTGTCCAGCAAACCATAGGACAAATCCTCCAGATGTTGCGATGCTGCGTGCATGTCAAAAGGGTCACGACCTCAAGCGACCCAACGCTCAAGTCCAAGGGTGTTGACAGAAGTTAGCTAGTTCTCAGCACATGTCACATAGACACATGTCCATAGTTAGTTCTCAGCACAGAACGCATTAGCTCGGCATACCTCCGCAAAGCCTTGTTCTCATCGGACTGGGAATTCACGGGCTTGTCAATGAAGACTGCAGCCAGAGTGGGAAGCGGCGTTCGACGTTTTCTGGAAGGAACGATTGATGGGTAATTTTCTGGGGCAGTTGGGACATATCCTGCCTGGTGGGCTATCTCCCTGAACACGCTGCGCCACTGAGGCGGGCAAAAAGAGAAAGATGCTGGGTTGCCAAGTGCCATCACTCATCCACTGTTTGGTCCTGGGGCGATGGGAATGAAATCGCATCAACAATTGTGCAAGTTCAAGGGTTGAAAGAACACCTGTCCTCAGGATGACATCAGATGAGCTAGGTGTGTATTCTCTTCGGTCCCAAAAGGAGGAATCGAGCTGATCCCGCGTGACTCCTGCAGAGTGGTTGAAGGAATCCATCTAAGGTCCAAATCAATCTAAGAAAAAATACTGGACCATGTCAATGTGAAATTTGACTTCAATGCACTCCTGATGACTCCAGCCGTTCAAGCCTAAAGCTGTGTGGCACCAGGGCCTCCTATGCCCTGAAACTTTGCGTGCTCAAAGTGGTAAGAGAGCCAGTTGGTCCTGAGGAAGGAACGGTTATTCATAGATGAACACACACACGTATATAGATATATGGTTCTCGCACATTCATACCTATTAAGGATCGTCGTTCAAAGAAAGTCCGTGATAAAGCGTGATCCATTCTCAAAGACAGTGACCAGTCTTTGTAGCGGGTCAACATGTCGACGCAGCGCATTGGTTCGTTTGGGCGAGTAGAAGGTTGAGCGAAGAACTCCCTCAAGCAATCTCTGAAAGCCAGTGGAGTCCACAACTCCTTGTGACGCTCAATGTAGCAGGCCATGAGATTGAATAGTTGATCAATGTCTTCATGGCTGTGGCCGGAGCTCAAAAAATTGAGCTCCGCGCCACGCAGCTTGTGGAGGGCAATCCACATGGCCAGAAGCCTGAGGCAGCCAACGTTCTTCACTTCACGACTGCAATTGTCGGCTTGCAGGTTGAGCCAAACCGAACGGTAGTCAAGCTTGGTAGACAGCTTTGTGAGTCCAGCGCACAAGATCTCTGCCGTCCGGGCGCTGCCAGCAGTCACAACATTGTGGGAAAGGGCAACCAACACCAAATGCCCATGGATCATCAAAGTGGTCGACGTCAAAGGTGGGCGATGAAATGATCCAAACTCTTTGCTTGCCATGGCACGGCTCCGTGGCCAGCAGTACCGCTGGGCACCCATCGAATCTAAAATGGCAGTAACCTCGCACTCGCCCAAAGTCGTGGCACCCAGACGGGAGCGCGCTCTGGCAGCATAGTACTGCTGACGGTCCTTGTGCTGCCGGTTGAGGTGCTGCTGCAGCATAGCCTGCTGAGCCCGGCGGGCAGGGGGGCACCCGCCCAACTTTTTGATCAGTAGCCGGTGCTTGATGCACAAGGTGCATTTCGAATGGTGCGTACGGAAACGGATTCTCAGGAGACCTTCGAAATCGGATTGCCACACCTAGAGAGTGTCAGGCGCAAAGATAACTAGCGTACCTAGAACATCCTAGAAGCAGGAAGAAGACGGAAGGAAAATGTTGATTTGATTGTGGACTAGCGTCGGAGCAGAAGAGCTTGCGGCTGATCTGTAGATCAGAGTTCACGGCCATGCACTGGTTCCAATAATCAGCAATAGTACCGTACGGGAGGTGTCGAAGTTTCGAGCGATCAAGCTGTGGGGTGTCTAGCTTTGTGGGACCACTCCGAGGGCGTTTGTTGCTGTTCCACCCATCGGGGATAGGCTCCGCGCATTCATGGTAGAGCTGGGTCAGGTAGCTATGAACCCTGTCCCACTTGTGGGATGGTGCCTTCTTCTCCCGAACACCGAAGCGACCATCGTATGGGCAAAAGTCAGCACGCTTCCGTGCAGCCGTGTTCAAGGTTCGAAACCGGCCTTTGCCCACGCCCAACAAAGACATCCAGGCTCGGTTGCACACTTTGTGTCCAAGCAACTGAAGATGTCGCTCACCTCTTTGGGACACTTGAGATTGATCTCGTAAGAGCTTGAAGACCTAAGCGTGGGATCTTTATTTGCTATCGGGTGACCCAGGATGAGGTAGGGGCTTGATGTTTTGCTTGGAGGAAGTGGTAAGCCCCAGACATAGTCATCTTTCTCTAGCTTGCTCATGTTGGCCATCATCTTCCGAATTTTCATCCACTCTGCCCAAGTGGAATGGCTCCGGAAGGACGCATAGCAGTCTGACTGGCAGCCACACTTTCTTCGAATGAGATTGGCTAAATGTTTTGGATCGACGCAAACACGTTTCAGACCCGCATTCATGCGCAAAAAGCCCCGGCGAGGTCGGAGCTTCATTGAAGGCCGAGTTCGAAGAGCTTGAGGCGAGGGACCCGGCGCCGTTGGCATCTCATCGTCACTCAATGAAAGTATGGGTGCCAACGAGGACATCCTCTCATGACATGTTGTGCAGGAAATGACTAGAAGATTCGACTGGTAACCATTGGACACCCTCAAAAGGCAAACCTCAAAGAAGTAGACATCCATTGGGGGACTCATCCAAGGATTGCCACTCCCACGGTAGCGCAGTCCTGCGACGGATAGGCGGTGGACAGGGTGCTATCCTGCAAGAGGGCTCGCGAAAGGTCGGGGCTCTATTGAAAAGATGAATAGTTGAACTTCAGTCGAATAGTGTTCAAGGTTTTCGATATAAGCAGAATGCACTCCTTCAAGTAGCAGGGCACGGGTGGAACAAATCAGAACGAATCAGCCATTGCCCAGGAATCCAAACCCAACACCCAAGGGGCAACAAGGGCAAATGATCCTGATCCAGTGCTTTAGGTGGTGGTGTTTGGTGTTTTGTGATGTTTTGTGTTTAGGTCAATCTGGCAAGTAATGCTGAACCCCACTGTAACAGGTTGTGTTACAAGTTACGATGTAAAAGTTGTTGACATCACCATCGCCCGACTGTGACCCCGCTGTGGACCACCAGCAAAAGGAGTGAAAGAATTCTTCAAAGAGGTTTTGTGCAAAGAAGAGGCTAATAAAACAAGCCGGTGTCACCCCGAGCGCCGTAGCAGAGCGCCGTGAAGGCGCCCAAAGCAAAATGAAAACAGGCTGAGGAAGCAACGTGTTTGCAATCCAAGTGATAATACGGTATATGAGTGGTCTGACACGCCTGCGCTTCACATTCGTGCAAACATTTCACCCCAGGTTCATGCGATCTTGTCCACTGCAAATTAGGTGCAGCACTAAGAGGAACGGCAGGCCCAAAAACGAGCCCAAAAGCCTTCTAATTAGGACGACTGTGGTCACATCAACTCCACATCGTCCAAAGACAATGAATGCCAAAGCATGCCATCGATGGCACAACGATATTGCCGCATGCATTTAAGCGGTCTTTATGGTTTGCATGGCGGACATTTGAAAGCCAACGATGCAACGGAGGCTTCTTTTGGGACTTCATCCAAGTCTTTTGGGGCCAAGCCTGTAGCTCAGTAGCTGTCATCATCGTGTGGCCCTGGCATGTCACCAGATGGCAACAACTGTTGCAAAATGGAACGACAAGCATTGACAAATTCCATCGGAATGTTTTAGAAGATACGCCTCAAAGAAGTTGAATCCCGGCTGTGCCAAGAGAAAAAAGACCCGGCGACGCCAGATCTTAGTCACTAGTCAATGTGTAAAGGATGCAAGTGTGGTTTCCAGTCAGCCATCATGTCAATCCAACAGTTAAAGAGGCAAGTCCCAAACCCAAGCCCCGAACAGGTGCTCCCACTTGATGGCCATTGACGCTGCGCCACGTCAGTCTGAGGTTGCGGTCCGCAGCAGCCTGCCATCGGACGCAGGCGGAATGTTTTATGAAGATTGTGGGCGGCGGGGCCTGGCGAAGATATTCCATGACATCCCGGCAATTGGGAGACAGTATGGAACCGACGTTCTCCAATAGCAAGAATTTCCTTAGATATTTGTTTGCGTATCTTTGTGTTGTGTTGTTGTGTTATCACACAAGCGCTAAAAGCAAGTGTGCAAAACTGTCAAAAAAGTTCCAGGTTCAGTGGGTAGCCACTTCGGTCTTTCTCATCCCAGAGCCGGAAGATCTCTTTGATTAGGACGGTGCGTGTCCCTTCCATTCCAGCCTGGTTGCCGGCACCACTGACATCCTGGCTTGACGGCAGGGAGAAGAAGGACGCTTTAAGAGATCGACCTGGCCTGGCACGGAAACCCAGCCAAACATCCTGCGATGTTGTCACCGAGTTGGTCTGCAGTGACTGTGGAGACATCCTCCAACACCACTCCAGGGTCTGCCAACCCATCCGAAATTCGAGCTTCGATGACCCGCCGGCAGAAAGAAGACTGCTCAACCTGGGCATGAAGGGTCACAACATGTCAATGACCTCAGCAAAATCCTTGAGCGCCCAACGTATGAGACAACTTCGACAAACCTCAAGGAATTTCAAACGGGAAGCAGTGAGAAGTTTGTGGAACCATACTTGTTTGCGCTACCACAGGCTGTTAGAATTTTTTCTGAAACATCTGAAACTAGGTGTTGGGCTGGCGCAATCCCAATTCAAGGCCCATCACACCCGAAAACAGCGATGCCACTCGGTGTTTGGGCTCCTGGAGAACTAGTCTATAGATAATAATGCAATGATTAAGTTATATACAAAGCCATGTATATTGAAAGTTCTTACCAATCTTACCAAAACGGAAAGCGTCAAACACGATCGATTGGTAGACATGCTGTCACATGGAAACATCTTAGCTTCCAAGGGAGGCCCATTTCAACGATGACGGTAGGCCCAACGATGACGGTTCTCCTTCGAACACGATCGAAGCCAAGGGTAAATAACCTCCAAGTTGTCCCGAACGCTCCCATGTTCAGGAGAAGTCCAGCCAATGGGTAGGCCTCAAAGAGGTGCAAAGGCTCCAAAGGATGCAAGGGTGTTCACACTCGGAATGAATGAGTTAAAGAACTTTTTGGGAGTCCCAGCCGGATAGGTGCTCGCCCGTCTCTGGCCGGCAGTGAATGCCCTTTGGAACACGCTTCATTTTGCATGAATCGGGTATATAGTTGCCACCAATAGACTTGGTTGGCAAAATCCTTGGATTCCAAAGCGAAAGGACAGGACGGTGGTACTGTTGCGAAAGGATTGTTGTGAATGTTGCAGGCAAAATAACATGAGAAAGCGACTCCACTCCCACGCTTGGACAAAAAGTTCGGGTTGGCCTGCACTGTGGAGCCAAATAGTCCTGGGCCGAGGGGGTCGATCAATGTCAAGTCATTGACTTAGTGAAGGGCCTGAGGATGGGGCTGATGGTACCGAACGATTTCAAAGTAATGGGCTTGGTGATCAGCTGTCCCTTATCTGGCAATTTGGCACCAGATTTTGGTCGCCTGGGTGGTACCTGGGCAGTTGAAACAAAGAAAGAAAAAGCTAACGGTCAACACAAATGCAATCACTTGTCAGATCGAATCGAAGTTGTTGGTTAGGCCAAAGATCCAATCGAATCTCACGAGGCACCCAATCTCGTTGGGGCATGAACCAAGGTTTGCGAAATCGAATTGGTCCATCTCTGAAACAGTCGCCAGTTGCTGGCATCCGGGCAACCTGTCATTGACAGCCAAGTCCAAGAGACCGTTGATGTCCATCAATTGAGGCAGTGTGACCTTTGCTCCAGAAGGTTCAGGCCTGGGCGCGGCTTGGGCGGCGAGTGGAAAGGTTAAAGTTGAGAATTGAGAACCTGGCACGTCCTCGAAGAGATCTTGGCCACCCATATCGTAACTTAGATCATACATCGTTTTTGATGCCAATCTAAGAACCCCCACAGCACATTTCTGGGACTCCAACTCAGATAACTCATCCACCGCAGGCAAAAGCATGGACATGGCAACACACAGAAATCGATTGGATGTTCTTATCACATGGTCGAGCATAAGGTAGAAGTCGTCAGAAGTCTATAGTCTATAGATGTAAGTAGTTGAATGTTTGAGTGAATAACCGTCTGATGTTTGCCACGAATAAAGAGTAGAGACCTCCGGAGAGAAGAATGACAAACATACAGAACACATGTTGTATGCGCCCTTGCATCCCTAAACTAATACCTTTTTGGTTTCCCCAAGATTGTGCATTGCGTCAATGTAACGCATTGCGTCCACACCCATCTACTAATTGAATCAGAATAAAATTGGGATAAGGAATCCCAAATCAAAATCATCCTCTTGGCCCTCAATGCGACCTTCAACAATTTGTTGGGTCGCGTCCACAAATACACGAGACACGTTGACAAAAGTGTCATCATGGTCCGTGCTCCCATCAGCAAGTCCATCAACCGCTTTGGTCAGGTAGTCTGAGCCTGAGTGTGGCTGAGAGCGAGTTGGCTTTCACCGTGGTCACTACCGGGGTCCCAACATGGCATAGCACAGTGGCAATGAAAGCTTTTCTTCGCAAGGTAGTGTCCTTATGTTCGAGGAAACGTTGGTTTTTCTTTGTGATCTATAGATACAGATATCTTCACCTAAGATTGAGGTATATTGAGGTGATGGCGACCATCGATCCCACTGTAGCGGCCACGTCAGCCTGCGAGACCTGCCAAAGTGCAGCCACTAACCTTAAACCTCTGCAGTAAGGCTTGAGTAAGCCAGTGGCAATGACTAATAACTAGATGATAAATAGAATTTGCACCTCCTCATCAGTCACATCTTGATCAGGGTCAAGTGGCGGAGATGCAGGGGTGACCTTACGCCAGCCGAGTTGAAGCCAAGTTTGGATTGACAACCCGAGAGCCGAGCAAAAGCTCTGCGAAATGGAAATGGTTCTTGGACTTCCCTCATGATGCTTCTCGTCCTAGGCACATCATAGCAAACCATGGCATATGATATCAAATCACAGTCTTGAGTTTGAGGCTCTGGAGACCACTCGAAGGCATTCTTAGCGCAGCGTTTTTTGTGGAAACAGCCAAAAGTCAAAAACTCACAGGCTCACAAAGTAAAGTCAATCCAACTGGGCCGGTGTCCGATCTGCGAAGGGACAAAGGTGGAGAGCGTGATCGAGCAGGTGCCTGGTGGGCACGGGTGAGTAAACCCCACATTCAATCCCAAACTCAACATCTCAACTTCAACATCAGGCTAGGAGATTACGATTCAAAAGGACGCCAGGATATGCCAGGCCTTTCCATTCAACCTGGTGGGGAGCGGCATCGGTCTCAACCAACCTGGAGAACCACGAGTTTGGGACTGAACACTTAGAGGTCACCCAGTGTTCTGACATGTTTCAAACCCGCGCCTCAAAAGCTAGCAGTGCTTGTTGAAGCGCACACGTGTGACCATGCAAGGACTAAGAGGAACGTATATGAATGTTCATCGTTAAATTATGTTAAATTGCATGTGCTCGTGTATGAACATGGCC